TCATTGAACCTAAAACAGAAGCAAGGAAGGCAGTGGGGCTGGTTTTAAACAGTCAAAAAGCTCACGTGTAGTTTCTAACAAGTCTGAGGAGATGACAGTGGCATGTGCCTGAGAAGTCAGGTGCTCTTCTAGCCTACTACGCCTTGGCTTCCTAACAGGCTTCTGGATTCCAGGCACTATTACCTGAGTTACAAATGAATCAATAAATCCTAGAGAGTCAAATCACTTCCTAAGGTCCCATACGGTTAGCAGGAGAGCAGATTCCAAACCCACATCTGATTCCGAGGTTCAGAGTCTGTCTAGCCTTTCTGGGGTGCCTTTGGCCCCACCAGTGGTACTTGGAACATATTTCAGCACTCTTGACAAGACTGTTGGCGTCAAAGTTTCTCACTGGATTCTGGGAGCCAGGGGTTTGCCAGAACCATGCATCTTCCATTCCCCATTCCCTACCTCTTCTTCTCTTCTAGAATGGCTGCTGGGAGTTCCAGCTCAGTGAAATGGACTGAAGGGCAGAGCAAGTGAGTGGACAATGGCTTTGTTGATTGACATGCGGGGCAATGCAGGAGTTAGGCCTAACATGGGGGAATCAGGGTAGCAGCTGGGAATAGGGAAGGATCTGTCCCCGCCTCAGCACTCTCCTGGTTCATTGTAGACTTATCACAGACTGCATGGCGTTGGTGATATTTTTCTCATCGACATCCGTGCAAAACAATAAAAAAAAAAAATCCATGCAGCAGGAACCCTGCTCATTTCCTTATTTCACAGAGCACTCTATTTGTGACATCAAATGTGCTCCTGTAGGTCGGTCAGGTCTTTCTTTCAGCCTTAGTATGTTTAACCTTTCGTTTCTCCATCGCTTTACATTTTCCAGGGAGAACTGACTTTTTACCCTGATTCTGTGGGCAGGTTTTGCAAAGACATTTGTCCCACTCATTCTATTCTTAAACTTGTGTAATTCCCCAGCCCTATAGTGCACAATCTGGAACATTTCTGGAACTATTTCTTTTGATTTTGTTTTCTTTGCTTAAACATCAGGACAGGTCTTCATCTTCCTTTCTTCCTCGTGGGTTTGGCCCCTCTTGTTGGATTTCCTTCAGCCAGAGGAGTCACTTTTTTTGTCTTCTGAAACCTTTCCCTGTCCTTCAACTCCTCCAAGTTTGTAGTCCCTCTCTGTGGATCTGAAAAAACAGAACAAAAGTCTCTGTAGTTTTGAAATGTTTCTCTCCCCATTTCCATTAATCTCTCTTTTGGGGGGCTCCACCCTTCAGCATTCAGAATTTAGTGATTTCTGGCCAGATGAAATGTCAGAGTGTGATTGTAAAGTAAGCAGTATATTTCAAAGATAAAATATTCTTGTCAGGCAGTGGTGGTGCACACCTTTAATCTCAGCACTCAGGAGACAGAGGCAGGTAGATCTGTGAGTTTGAGGCCGGCCTGGTCTATAGAGCAATTTCCAGGACAGTCAGAGATACACTGAGAAACTGTGTCTCCAAAAATAAAAAGTGAAATGAAACAAAACAAAAATTCTTAATGCCAGAATACAGGTTGGGGAAACTTGGCATAAATTTGATTCTGAGTCTTTCAACAATTGAGACAATTTTGGTATCTTTTTATTTAGTCACAGTGTAGCCCTGGCTAGCCTGGAAACTCACTATGTAGACCAGGCTGGCTGGGAATTTGTAGAGATCTACCTGCTTTGGCTTCCAAGTATCTCAACCATCCTGGCCTAGTTTGGCTATCTTCACGGTCTTATCTGTGTAAAATGTACTATTTGGCAGGGTTTGGAAGCTTGTATCATCACAATGTGTTTGTATGAAAAAAATGACAAAAGTTTTCATTAATTCATTACTTTTATATTGGAAACAGAGTTCTGACATAAAAATGGGTTTCTTGAATACTGAATTTATTCAGAGAACTGTGTGAAAATAATTGATTTTTCCTTAATGATGAGAAATACAATTGAACTCATAATTTCAAGAAAAAAGTCACTATTCACATCTCACTCATAAAATGTCAGTTTTTAATTAAAATCCCAGGAGGATTCAAACTGAACTCTACTTCAGCCTGTTATTGTTTTCTACCCTGGAAGAAATTACTTTTACTTATTTATTTAAGATTTATTTTATTGGTCTGACGTTAAAGGTAGAACACACTGTTTATCCCCATTCTCAGGAGTCAGAGACAGGGGGATCCCTGTGAGTTTGAGGCCAGCCTGGTCTGCAAAGTGAACTCCAGGACAGCCAGGGCTATGTAGATAGATTCTGTCTCACACACCTCCGCCAAAAGATTTTATTGAATGGGTGTTTTGCCTTCATGTATGTCTGGGCACACCATGCTTGCTGTGCCCACTCGGGCCAGAAGATGGCATTAGATCTCCTGGAACTGGTGTTAGAGATTTAATGAGCTGCCACATGGGTGGTGGGAATTGAACCTGGGTCCCCTGTAAGATCAAGTAGTACTCTTAACTGCTGAGCCATCTTTGAGGCTCCTCTTTGCCTATTTTTTAATTCCCTCATGTCCCTTGGGTGCCTTGTTCTATCATTCTCCACATTATTCCTTGTGATTGGTTCTCTCACTGACTGGGAAAGGTTACCTTTTTTGATTAGGCTGGGTAGCCAGTAAGCTCTCAGAATCTGCCTGTCTCTGGCCCCCCAGTGCTGGGGTTATAGGCACATGCCTGAGTTTTTGTGTTGAGTACTGGGTATTTGAACTTGGGTCTTCATGTTTGCAGAGTAAATACTCTTACCTACTGTGTCATCTCCTGAGGCAAGAAATTCCTTTTTTTAAATGCATTCCTAGGACAAGACATTGCTGGGGAGTCCTTGCTGAGCATAAGAGCTCCATTTTGAAAACTCTATTTCCGACGTCTTGTTCTGTCTACTTTGTGTTTGTTTGAAAACATTTTCTTTGTGTATCCTTAACGGCTGCTGACTTCCTAAGGCTGCTGACAAACCTCAGCTACCCTGCTGGCCTCTGTTTTGTCTCTTCTGAAGAAAATAGCCTGCAAAATGGAGAAACACATCAACCTTGACTGTGGTCCAAGTTATTAGAACAAGGAGGAAGTTACTCTCTGGGGACTGGGTAGGGGGAGTGGGAAATCCAACACAATAGAAACTCAAAAGGAGTGCTGAGCAAAATCAATGTCCCTGTGCTAGTCCAAGAAGTTCACAGACTGTTGGGAACACACAGTGTTTGACCTGTGGATGTTGGAAAGGAAAAACCCAGAAGTCTCCCAAGGAGTGATGTATGGGGAAACGAAGCTGTGTATTTTGGTGGGGCCAAGGCTGTCAAAGCTGGAGAAAATCCCCACTAGACATGGTCTCATCCCTGAGAACCTCTGCCAAAAGAGATAGCCGAGGCTCTGGCTGGGAACCCCAGCACCGCACCTTCCCTCAGCGCCTGCGCATATACTACCTGCCCCAGAGATTTACTTCTTGAAAACAGATAACCTGCTCTCAAGTAGCTCCTGGCTCCTCAGATGTCAAAGCAAAGGGGGGGAGTCATGATTCCAGGAACACTAGCAGCTCCATGAACAGAACATTCTCGAGCTTGCTCTTTCACCCCCTGCCCAGAAGCTGTTCATTTCCCCTTCTAAATAGCTCCGTTTATGCTGCAGTAGCATTCCCTCTCTCCCTTTTGTATTGCTGGGACAGAATGCTGATCTCACGCATGCTAAGCAAGTTCGCTGCCACCGAGTTGCACAGCTCAAACCCCACTTCTTTATTTTTGCCTGGCTTTGGACCTGGCTGAGGTCTGATAGGTCTACTACCTGAAGAATGAGTTCCGGGAGTCCCAGTCTGGAGACAGAGACCCAGGATTCGGTGTAGTATCCTCATCCCTCTGGCCATAGAAGGGCAGGAGAACCTAGTCTGCTTTCTTGTTTTTACCCGTTAGTGCATTTGATTTTTAAATTCTTTAGGTAGTTGTGAAAACCAGAACATTCAGAAAATGCATAATATGGGAAGGCAACAACCCCCACCCACAATCCAGTAGCCCAGAGGACTATTTTTGATATTGTGTTGAACACTCCTTTATATTTTCTATGTATGCATTTGCCCCTGCGCCATTCTCCTTCTTAAGAAATGGTTGACTCCAGCTACCATATGCATTTACCAGAGTCCAGTAAATGCATATTGACAAGTCATCACAAAACTGGGGTTTAAAACCCCATGAGGGTATTGATTACTGGAAAATACTCCCTTTCAATTATCTCTAATTTAAAAAAAATTGGGGGGGGCATTGTAGACTTCTTGCCTACAGTGTTTCTAAGTGTTCAGTTTTGAGGTGAGAATTATGTTCATCTCATAAACTATAGCTGTGTCAAGTTGACATAAAACTAGCTGGCACAAATAACAAAAGGCAGAAAAGTGAGGGGAAAATGACAGGTTTATTTTAATCAAGGTAAGAAAGGAAAGTAGTGCCAAGGGACCAAGTTGGAAATGAGGATCATGACAGTTTCCTGAAGATGAAGTGAGGCTAATGAATATTCTGATGGGTGGGGCAGGGAGAATGAACTACATATTATAGGAAGAGAGGGTTCACCAGATGGAAGGATACGTCATGACCCAAGACATATTTCAGATCTGGTTCCTCCTGGCCTTTCTGAGAACCCCCTCCCACTACCCACCATTTATCCTTCTCACTGTCATTTGCTGAAGACAAAATAATAATCTCCAGCTAGGAAGATAAAATACTGATTTAGAATGCACACTATTAAAAAAGTTGTCCAAGTAGTCTCAGAAATGAGGGGCTCATGCATCTTTTAGTAGGTGTTTTTCTACTGAAAACAAACACATTTATTTGCCTTAGCTTTCTTCCCGATTCCTCACTTTTGAAACAAAGCCACACATTGGAGTGCTCTATAAAGCAAAGATGCTTTATTTATCTAAAACAAAATCAGTTTCCCCCTTGATTAGGAAATAGCACATTTCTCATTAAAAAAATTCATATGGTAGTAAAACATTACAATCACATGTCATCTTACCACCTAGATGATTTTTAAAAAACAACAATTTGTTGTGTGTGTATCTGCAGTAGAAAATGCTGGAATCATCTCTCTATTTACAGCAGTTATCCCTGGATGGGTTGGAGATAGCCGGGGAAAGCCTGACAAATGGGTTTAAGAGATTCTGGAGGGCTGTGGTGTAGTTTACTTGCCTAGCATGGCCAAGGGCTGAGGGGAGGAGATAACACTTTGGAGACAGCCCATAAAGACAACTTCTTCAGGCAGGTCTACACAAAGGGGAGCAAAGACACAAGGACAAGGGTTCTTGTTGACTGGGGAAGCATGTCAGGAGAGGGTGGTTTTATTTCTTTCCTTTTTAAAAAACTGTTTTAACTTGTAGGTAAAAGTAAGCATGGTCTATTTGTTTGCTGATTGGAATGATCAAAAAGATCAAATGGATGCTGGAAGGGGATGGTGGAGCAATGTAGGTAAGGATTAGACTCCTGAGGCACTGCAGAGCAGCTGTCTGTAGGGAGAAGCTGGGCTAGTTTATCTAGGAATGGAATTGCTTTG